GATTGTTCTCCGGAAAATATTTTTAGATAGGGGCCCCTAAAAAAAATCTGCCCCGGGCCCCCGCCAACCTCTCGGCGGCCCTGAAGACCAGCATTCCTCGCGGGCATCAAGCCATGTGCCGTCATCATGCATAAAGTCTATTATCGCAAGAAAGCAAGTTGAAAACATCAATATAATTATCATAATACCGGTTACTTTTAATGTTAATCTCCAACAAAATATTTACATGTATGAAAGCAACTGTCGCTATATCTAGTTAACTATATGAAAAGGAGTGACAATGCTATGCATCGATACATCAAGCAGCGTTTCCAAATATTATAGTCCGCTAGTGAAATGTATATCCAGTAATTATGATCCCGAACCATTTACTGATTATAAAATAATAACTCACAGGCAACCTCCAAGTATCAAGCGATATTTTTACATTTTTGTTTTCAGAACGTATTTATATTTTTGGCTGTATTTGTAATTTGTACATATAGGAGTGTAGAAACAGTATAGCAGTATTTTATTCATTATTTCTATATATTCAGAAATCAATACAGCAGCATTATTTAGTTATGACATCTTTGCGACATACCGGGCAAGATCGATTGTTCTACAAATGTGAATAAACAAAAAGAATAAAGTATTGTTCATCTCTTAATAGACCTTTCCCCTTTTAAGTGAAATTTTGATCTAGACAAGTCTGGACAAAAACTTCATCACAGCTTGAAAGAGCATCACAAAATTAGTAATATTCCGAAGTTTCGTTGCGAAATGTTGTAAAATGCGGATAAGATAGCCTTGCGAAGTTTGCCGTTTTTCAGTTATTTTGCATTACAAATGGGAAATTGATAATCAGACGATCAAACTGATTATCAATTTCCCATTCGTAATACCAAATGACTGAAAAACGGCAAACTTCGCAAGGGTATTTTATCCGCGTTTTACAACATTTCGCAACGAAACTTCGGAATATTACTAATTTTGTGATGCTCTTTCAAGCTGTGATGAAATTTTTGTCCAGACTTGTCTAGATCAAAATTTCACTTTTCAGGGTAAAGGTCTATTAAGTCCCGTTTACACTTGCAATTCTAGCTGCAATTTCAGGTGCAATTTTCATCTCCTGATGTATGCGAACGAGTGGATGAGTTAGAAATGTTTAAATGAGAGTACATGTACTCAGAGCATTCATAACTTCTTTACTCGTTCACATCCTTCAAAAGAAAATCGCATTGGAAATCGCAGCAAAAATTGCAAGTGTAAAGGAGCCTTTAAACATCTTATCCATAATCTACGTAACAAAATCCTCTACTCAAGGCCATGTTACACGAGCAATTTTTGCTGGGACTTGCACAAGGAGATTTTTAAAAAAAATTATTTAGCTTTGCCAACTAGGGCAGGGTCACCACAACAGCATATGCCAATTACTGTGGACCCTTTTTACCTAACCCCACCCTGGAGTACTCGGAGAAAACACACGACTTTTGGCAGAGCGTTGACTTTATACTCTTTTCGCGTGAGGACTGGGTTCGAGTCGCATTGGGAAAGTTCTCGTTGAGGCTTGGACCTGCGGCCTCGGAGGTGAAAGGCAAGTGAGCTAACCACTTCGCCACCGAAGCCCCTAAGTTGAAACACTGAATTTTGAAAATATATCAAAATAATTCAGAGAATCGTTCACAACTTGAGAACATAGGAGGGGACACTTTGTTAATCTAGCGCTTAAAATATCCCTCTAAGTAACCTCTCAGCCTCGTTTGAGCGGGATTGAAGGATGACAGTTGTACTCATTACCGCAAGTGATTGGTTCATACATTAACAAGCAAGTTTACCTTGAGCCATTTGTCTATACATTTAGCATGGAAATCATGATTGCATGGCAATCGTCTTAATTTCTCTTTATTCGAATAATTCATCAAACAAACAACACACGATCCATTCGAAGAATCTTTAGAAGCCGCGCTATAACGAAACGCAGGGATTTCATCCAATTCTAAAATAAAGGTGATAGACATTAATATAAAAGTCCGACGATAACATTGACTTTGTGACAATGGTTTGAATATGTTTCGAAAGCACGGTTACGAAAAACACTTTCGATATAACGACCTCGCGAAAGTATCAATATATTGAACAACACGAAGTAACCAGAAATTACCAGATACACTTACCACCCTTAGACAGTCCCTTGGGTTTAACCTGGCCTAATCTTTCCGTCAAGTTCCATAAGGCCTAGATTGAAAATGAAATAAAATCAAAATTGTTAATACATGGCCAGGAAAATTTAATCCAGGATCAGCAGTAACCGTTTTTGAACAAGCAGATTGAGACAGCGATAGTGGCTTTAAAGGAATGTATCACATCATGATAATGCAGGCTCAAATTCCTGCTGGCAGTCATTTTATGGGACGAGAAGGATCGGGTAGTTCAAAAGATCTAGAATTTCTTTGTAATTTGAGTATTTTTGTAATCCGTCGTATATTTAAACCATGGTTTGAGAATCCTTGCTTCTTTTTTCTGATTGGTATTGGAAAATGGAAATGTACAAGTAAGGTAGTTTTATCGTTATTTCTTGATTTTGGGTAAGATAGGAACAATAACAAAAGCCCGCGATATTATGGTACGACACTAACATTTTACAGACGGGAGCAGGCTGGAGAACTAGGTCGAGTCACATCACTGCTCTATGTAGACTTGGATCAAGTCCGTCTCTCTAGAGTCCGAGGGAGAGCGCGAGACCTCGCGCGCTCGATCTCGTCGCCTCGCGGATTCTACGTACAGAGACGGACTTCATCCAAGTCTATGCTCTATGATCTCACCGTAGCCAAGCTGGTACCAGTGTGGATTATAACAATTTCGCTTCGGTCTGACAAATGTGCGATCAAATGTGCAGTTGCTCGGATATTGGCTAATAATGATAGGCCAGCCTCAATTGACAAGCTATCAATTGCTATCAATTTGATAGCTCGTGCTGATCACTTATCCCATGCACGATCAATCACATTACTTAATTTTTGGCAAGCAGTCCCAAAGATCCATTGCATATTGTGTTTTCGGGAATATTCTGCATGTCTAGTACCATAAACTTATGATGTGATTTTGTTGCTTGTCACAGTTGCTTGTCACAGCAAAGCCAAGAAAATATTTTGTGTTCCTTGTCTTGTTCTTATGCTTTACCCTTCATTTAAATGAAAAGTGTCTATTTTATTTACTCAGTCAAAATGTCCGGGCAGAATAAGATTGATCGGCCATTTAGTGTTATTATTTGGCAAACAGGCGATTGTTATAACCGTTATCATCCACACTGCAAGCTACGATGGTGAATTGGAAAGTTCTTTTTCGTAGTGCCCACTACGCTCAAGACTTTCATCGAATTTTGACCTAGAAAGTTGACAATTAAACGTTTTGATCATAAAGACGACTTGGAAAATGTTTTGAAATGCACGAGTGCTCAGATTTTGTAAACTTCGGCGAGATGTCATTCCAAACTTGTACTGGAAGGACTACAAAACCTTTCCAACCGTAGCCGTGTGGTTCTTTCTTAAAAGCGAACATACGCAAGGCTTAATCTTGTGCGGGGACGCGAAACAAATCTTACACTTTTAGTAAGACGACAAAACTATGCATGTCCTAGCGTTATTACAACCTTAGGCAAACATAACGGAAATGCAGCTACGACAGCAATTGATACAATGAAATTAATAACACTGTAGAGAAGAAATGAATAATTAAAATCTCACGGGAAAATGAGATGTCGTGCTCGCTGTGTTTACAACAGCATATCACAAATTACCACGTGTTGTATACAACGCCTACATTATATGCGACTTTTGCTACTTAAATTTAGTGATTGACCGATAATTGGTATCAGCATCAGGCCGATTTTTGCCTTATCGGTGGACAATCGGAATCAGTAGATTTATCCATATCTCCGATTGTCTAAAACAGATCGTTGAGAAAATACGCACTTTTAAAATTGTATGCATTGCACGTTGATACACGTTGCGTTTTAACGCAATATGTTAAATTAATGCGTGAAGTGTGCCATTTATTAACTTTGATTGCAGTAAATCATTGTTAAAAAATCGACATAAATGACGTCATCTTTACTCAGTCAACTGGTATTATGACGTCATCATAAAATTGGTATCGGTATCAGGCAGATTGTGGCATGAATAATCGGTAATTTCCAATTGTTGCACAATCGATCAATCACTACTTCAATTGGTTGTTAGAACTTTTTTCAATCATAAATCACTGTCTTTACCACGATCCTCAAGCTGTATTACACGCGCGGAAACGAACAACCCGTTCCTGGTAACAATGCTGTAACACTGTTGACAACTTGTTCAAGTCTGTCGATATAAAGGCCCTGTCACACTATTGCGTATGAGAGAAACGTACGAGAAGCGTATGAAAATTAATGAAATAATTTTTATACGCACAAAAATCCTTGGAAATGCCAGCGTACGAGTACCGTACATCTGGCGTACCTCTAGCGTATTCAGCGTGTGCCTATAGAGTATGCTTATCGTATAAACCATACGTCCGAATACGACCAAAATTTTTGAGCATGCTTAAAAAAAAATTTCTGCCTCGCCGTATGCGACCGTGCTTGAAACGTATACAACCTATGTCTAACGTACCCCTAGCGTATGTCAGCGTTTTCCAGCGTACGAGTGACGTTTTCATACGCTAGTGCGATACGCAATAGTGTGACAGGGCCTTAAACTGGGAACAGGTTGTTCGTTTTTATGCGTGTAATTTCATATACGATGGATACTAGACGACAGGTTTTCTTTAGAATCATTTAGTTCAACGAGTTTGTTTGCCGTCGTCGACGCGTTGCCGTCCTACAAGCTAAAGTTTCCGCGCGCGGGAGATGATATCCGTACTCGCCCCAGTCCAAATGCAAATTTTTAACTGTTTTTTTTTTCGGTCGGCTATATTCAAGTCTCTTAGGCCCCGTTTACATGAGACCGGGACGAAAATAACTCAGACCGGTCTCAAGGCATTCCGCCTGCTGGATCGAGCCGACTGACTTCAGACCGGCATGAATTCAGACCGGGATGAATGTAAACACAACTACAAATCAGATCAGTCTCGGCTGTAACCTTGGCATTGGAACAACACATACTAACAAAAGCCATCTAAAAAGACAATTGCCTCGCAAGGGGAATAACTTGAAAATTTTGTGATTTTCGTACCGGTCTCATGTAAACATGTTGACAATTTTCATTCGGGTTTGACTTGGTCCCGATCTCATGTAAACGGAGCCTAATGCACAAGAAGGAAACAAGGCATTCAGTACAAACCTCATAATCCTCTCGGTCCTCATCGTCACCAAAATGACGTAATCGTGAATCAGGACCCCACCAAGACCTATACAACAGAATTTAGTCAAATTAGAAGGGGCATTAGAAATAAACAAGACGCCTGCTCAGGCGTTCACACTGGCCTCGCGGTTGGTAAAATACCATCACAATATTCCAAAAAATAATTTGAAACATGTAGATGTTCTTCACTTCTTGACGGCCGTCACTTCATGATCACAAACATTCAGAGGACGGCACAATAAAAATCCATACAAAACCAATAGAGTTCAGCGATATCATATCGAAAAACAGAGAAAAGTTCAAACGCATGCGCAATGAAATATAATATAATACGTCCCACAATTACAGCGTCTAAGATTTGTAACGTAGTTAAATACGAAATTCGTTCTGAATAGCATTGTGTAGAATTGGTCCTTAATCATCGTGAGCATGTTTTAGCTAAATTGCGCAATCCTGATCCCACGATGCCGCAATGGAAAGTCACACTTGCGACAACCAAAAAGAAAACCCCCCGAAAAATTCTTTGCATTTTCAGCAAGGGCAAATTACAGTATGTGGCTACGGCCAGTGTAATTAACAACAGGGCTGAAAATAACGTTTCATGATACGCCTGTGACGGCGACAGTTCGGTTCCACTTTGACCAGTCGAACGCGATTTTGGGCCGGTCAACTCCGCTTAATCTTCGAGGAAACATGCTTGGCGAAATTGTCTTGGCAAGATTCACACAACACAGGAAGTTTAATAGCAAGAAAACTCTTACAAATTGACTGGCCGTTATTTTGATTTTGTTTTATCTTAATGGTAATATTGTTCGCAGAAGTTTCAAAGTTTATTGTAAATAATTAACTTTTGTCAATTAAATAATTTAAAGTAATTTAAGGTAATGAATTTACATCATGTAACAGCCGCGCAATTCAATTTTTACTGCGATGTGACTTAGTTTTTGATAAATCTACAGTATCTATACTTTTTGTGTGTGTTGGTACTCAGATGAATATGATATTTGTGTGATGTTACTCTGAGTGTGGATCCATACAGGCTAAGCTGAAAAGTTTGCCTGACCACGGTGGAAATATATGGGTATATATACATATATATATTATACTATCTTAGCACACATAAACTTCAGTTTTCTATGTTTAAAACATCAGAAACTTACAGCAAAGCTGGCAGCATAAGAGGAACAGGTATATCTGAAAACGGCCCTAATTCCCTTTCCATCGGCGGCGACGTTCGGACATTCTATAGAAAATTGAAAGAATATTTAAAGATCAGGGGCCGTTGTTGCAATAAAAGGTAGTGTTAGATACCTACAGTTATTATGAGAGTAAAGGCTGCTTTCAAGTTTAAAAATCATTCTATACTATAATACCAATTACCTCAACAAATACACTCTAAATCATACACAAAACTAATATCTAGAGCGTTTGAACATGACGTCACAGCCGCGCAATGCTGGTGTTCCAATTCAAAAGAATTTTAATTAGACTCTTTTGTCTGGAACACCAACATGGCCGCCATGGCTTTTGTTGAGTTGGTCCCTGGGGAATGAGTGCAAAAGCTCTATAATAATGCTGTGTTTTTATTCAGTTAATTATTTCATAAGAAACTTTTGAATGGAGTTAAACTTTTCAATTATTTGTTAACTAGAGAATAGTGGTTAAAAAGTAGTAAAGGGTTTTATACAACCGGTCCCAACAGACGTGTAATTTTTCTCACCAGTTTCATTTCATCGTGGGTAACAAAAAATTGACAAGTTGCTTGTGTAAAAGCTACAGTAGCTGTGCTGTTGAAGTAGGTTCAATTACTCAACTTGTTCGGATTTTCTCATTTTTACTGGATATCAAATAAAGAGACTTGTCAAGAAAGTTTGTCAGTTTTTTGTCGTACAAACAAACCAAATAGGATGATTAAGGTGAGAGACGAAAATTTACGATTTAAGGCTCTGTCACACTATTGCGTATGAGAGAAACGTATGAAAATTAATGAAATAATTTTCATACGCACAAAAATCCTTTGAAATGCCAGCGTACGAGTACCGTACATCTGGCGTACCCTTGGCGTATTCAGCGTGTGCTTAGAGTATGCTTATCGTATAAACCATACGTTCGAATACGCACAAAATTTTTTAAGCATGCTTAAAAAAAGTTTCTGCCTCGCCGTATGCGACCGTGCTTGAAACGTATACGACGGACGACCTATGCCTAACGTACCTCTAGCGTATGTCAGCGTTTTCCAACGTATGAGTGATATTTTTCATACGCTGGGGCATACGCTAGTACGATACGCAATAGCGTGACAGGGCCATTATAGGGCAGACTTATTAACAAGTGTAACTGGTTCTAAAACAAAGCTATCTGAGCTTGGATTGGTCTTAATTGTCAGTGCAAATATGTTGATTGTGGACTCGAGGAAGTCAAATTGTCACGGGAAGCTTGCTCGTTTGTAAGAAGGGTTTTGCGATTTCAAAATTATCATCAATGCCTGAGAATGTGTTACAAGGCACTTACCAAACGGCCAGGATTGCTTTCAATATTTGGAATGGGCCTAGTATATACATGACCAGGAAGTGTACCAATTTCTTGATTCGCTGGCGGCTAAAGATAAAATATTCACTACATTAAACATTGTTTCACAAAGTACATGTATGGTGATATAATAATTAGCATAGGGTTTCGAGAAAATTTGGCAATATATGGACGTGTAAGGTTTTCACAGATTACAAAATGACAACTATCCGGAAAAGTAAGAGAAGAGCAAAACAAGCAGAAAATAAGTAAAAGCATGATTTCAAGAGAAATTATAAGACAACGAACAGACGGGAATTAATTGGTTTCCTGAAGACTACAGTATATGTGCGAAAATTGCGCACTTTCGGATATTTCAGAACCTCCCAATAACACCAATTTATTATGTGGAAAGGCCTATACGTTGTCGAAGACGAGCTGTGTGTTTGATTTACACAGATAATACACTAAGTACATTTCGTTTAGCAAGCCATCCAGTTGCGCTAATCAAGTCGACTCGTATCAAGTTCGGATTTTTTCATTCGCTCACGCGTTCTCACCATAGATATCTTATATACACTAGATAGTGCATTTCTTTTAGTAAAATTGAAGCCAAGAATATTCCAGCTGTTACCCCCATTTGAATAGACGGCGGCCATGTTGGTCGTTCCCACTTGCTAATAAACGCTTAAAAACAACAATAACTTTCATCATTTGAATAGTTTAAAAATGTATCTGGAATAGGGTTAACTTAATGTTTAAGTTCCCTGTTTAAGAAATAGAAAACATACGAATCTTCTCATTTCATGGGAACGACCTGAGACTGCAATCACGGCTTCAATTTTTGAATTGCAGAATAATTAGATGCACTATCTAGTGCATATAAGATATCTATGGTTCTCACTCGTTTCACGCCTTACAATACGAGGGAAGTTACAATGCGTTACGGTGCGAGTCCACTTGTACGCTAGTCTCTCTTGTTAAACTCTCAAAATGTTTATGTTCATACTCAACTTTTGCCTAACAACTTGATAGTGTCAATCGGTCTTATTAAAAGCATACCTGAACAGTTCTTCCAAAGTTTTCATGAGAACTGCTTGTGAAATGAGGAAAAGGAGATATGTGTTCATGGCGTTCTCTCAACTGCCTTGAATGAATACGTCGTGGATTTCGTTGAACAGCGCGAAGCTGCTGACTGATATCGCGACGACTGCTGCGTCTTTCACTCTCACCCTCATGAGACTCCTGAAATGAATTTGAAACTTACATTCTGTGCTAGTATCAAGATTTTGTTCATCTCACTCGATTGATTAATAGTTGAAGGGTATTGTAGATGGAAATTATCGAGTTGAAGGTTGTTTACCATTTACTTGGAAATTCCGGTGATTCCATACGGAAAGTAAATGGAACAAGCATATTTCGACGGCCCAACCGGAATTTTTCCGGAATAAACGGTTTGTTTGAAAACGTTGTCCTCTCTTACCGATTGGAACGTTTCAACCGGTACATTTTGTTCCATTTACATCTTTTTTATTTTTTCACCAGTTCCAGGCTCTTCGCGATTTAACTCAGACCGAATGGGTTTTCCATGTAAATGGTAAACAACCCTTCAGTGCCTTCCGGTCAGTCACTCTAAATGGAAAGCGCATAATCCGAATGGGATTTTCTATCCGAAATTTTGCTTACCATTAGCACAATTTCAAACCGGATGGGTTTTCCATGTAAATGGTAAACAACCGAAATGTGTATACATTTACTAGACCTAACCAGGAACAGAAATGAAAAATGCAACATATTAGGTCCCCAGCAGGAATCACAGGTTCGATTCCTGTCATGCTACAGGGACCTAAAGTTGCATCCAGCAGTTCTTAGCTAGGTCTAAAAAATGCATGTATATACATTTCCATTTGATAATTTCCCTCTACAATACCCTTCAACTAATATTCTGTCCTATAGGCTTGCGTAAAAGGCCTAGTTGAAGAACCTCTTGAATTAAAATAATTTAATGTGTTCAAATTGTGAAAAGTCTCACACAGATAATGCGGGTCCATCATTGATCGGACCTCCACTCAAGGTCTTAAAATAATTGAGGAGAAAGTGCTACCTTCACGCTGACATCAGCGAATGCATGGTTAGACTTTCGCGTCTTCTCAGAAAAGGACGTTGAAATCGTAGGTACTTCGGATTCCCTATCAATGGACCTTTCACCTTTTGACTAAAATTTAGATCTCAACAAGTCTAGACAAAAATTTCATCACAGCTTGAAAGAGCATCACAAAATTAGTAATATTCCAAAGTTTCTTTGTGAAATGTTGTAAAATGCGGATAATATAGCCTTGCGAAGTTTGCAATTTTCAGTCTTATTGTATTACGCGCGGGAAATACATACCTCCTTCGGAAAAAGGGTATGTATTTCCCGCGCGTAACAAAATATGACTGAAAATTACAAACTTCGCAAGGCTATATTATCTGCATTTTACAACATTTCGCAACGAAACTTTGGAATATTACTAATTTTGTGATGCTCTTTCAAGCTGTGATGAAATTTTTGTCTAGACTTGTTGAGATCTAAATTTTAGTCAAAAGGTCCATTGATAGGGAATCCGAAGTACCTACGATTTTAACGTCCTTATCTGAGAAGACGCGAAAGTCTAACCATGCATTCACTGATGTCAGCGTGAAGGTAGCACTTTCTCCTCAATTATTGTATTCATTTTTGTCTAGACTTGTTGAGATCTAATTTTAGTCAAAAGGTGAAAGCAGGGCAATAGCCTGTTGGGAAATGCGTTGAGCAACGAGTAAGAAACTGAATAAACAAACCTGTGCATGTAGACTGGCGTGTATGGGAAGACGACTTCGTTCACTCCTAGCTGAAGGAGATAATGTTGGTCTAGTACTGTCAGTCATTGATATTCTTGGTGGACTAACACGACTACAGCTAGGACGAGAAAATCCACTCGCTCGATCAAGAAGACTTGAATGGCCAGTAGCAGAATCATCCTATGAAAAGAAAACAGTTAGTTCTACAGGCACACACGAAAAACGCGCTAGTCGTTACAGATCAGGAAGCAAGTTGTAACAAGGTGGCTCTCAAGCATCAGGATGTGTTCACGTGGTGAGAAGTTGTTGTGAGTCATGAAGTCCCAGTTGTTGTCACAAGTCTGGAACAATTTGTTATCACCTTGTTACAAGGTTGGTGACGGCAACAAACTTGCTACAAGTTGTTCCAACAAGACAATAATATCGCAATGTTAATAAGTTGTTAGATTAATACAGGCAGTCCGTATAAAAAGTTGCTACGAGCTTGTTGTCATCACTTTGTGAAACAACTTGTTACGTGCAGACGATATCAGACTTTTTGCGAGTTTGTTCGCCTCACCAACTTATCGCAAGCTTGTCAACAAGTGATAACAAGCGAACACATCTTGTTGACAAATTGTGATATTTTTACGCGTGTTTGTAATAATTATGAAAAGAGTAGGCGTGCATTTCAGTTAATCATTTTTTTTCATATGAACATAAATAGAGGAAAGGTTTAAACCGCTTTAAGCGTTACTGATACAGTATGTATTGTAAATGTACAAGAGAACAGCAAATAGTGTTGTGTATGATTTAATGTGTATTTATTGATGTAAATCAGTAATATTTATATATTATTTAGAAAGATTCAACTTTTCATTGCGCATACAGGGCTTTCAGTGAATGTGATTCCTGGCTAAAGCTCTGGCGAAGGACACAAACCGAGGGGTAGTGGACACATGATCTCTCAGGGATCTTTGAGATTTCGATGTTTTAGAATGTCATTTCGACATTCAGGTGCGATACACCGCCCACAGGGCACAGGATAGTGATTGTTTCAACCTTTGTAAAAATGCTTAATGAAACACGAAGCTCCATAATGAAACACGAAGGACAGAGATGAGAAACTGTGAGCATGTTGAGTTCAGACATTGTATTGCCGATCTGCCGTTCACTGAAACCGCCTAGAATTGAATATACTGTTGTGGTTAAATAGACATGTACATGCAGATGCTTCCGTATATAATTCACGTACTTTCTGTTCTTGAACTTCTTCAATTTCCTTTTACAGTGTTAAATTTAACTAATCTTTTAGATAACCTAATGCATAGTAGTTGTAGATGTACTGTAGTAGTAGTAATTAAGTATTTGGAATTACCAGCAACGACGCCCCTTTTGTAAACCAGCTTAGTTTATATTTTTAAAAAAGTTGAGAGAGGCTAGCGTGATGAAATAAAAGTCATGTATGTATGTTATGTATGTATATGAATCACGACCAGAAATTCCACAGAAAAATGGCCATGTCGCTGTGCACTCATTCCTTTAAGGTCGTTTTCCACTAGCCGAAATTTTCGGTACGGAGAGGAATTTTTCTGTCTTGTGATTTCTCGGGTGGAACTAATTAGAAAAGGCAAAGAAAAATTCCGCTCCGCGCGCAAAATTCCGCCTAATGGAAAACCGGCTTAACATCAGTCGAAAATTTTCGCGCGCTTTTTCCTTTGCTTTACTTTGATCTATTTGCATCAAAATAATGCTTAAATTGTACTTTTAATATGTTCTTCCGTATTCCAGAGTCACCTTCTGTTGTTTTGGGGGCTTTTAGGATTTCCTTCACATTAAACATCTACCCACAAATCTCTTTCACAATTAGTTGTCCATATCCTGACATTTCCCCATAGATCACTTAAGTATTTATACATGAACTATCAATCAACTAGAGCATATTATGATAAGTTTATTCTGTAGCTCAGTTGGTTAGAGTGCTGCATAGGAATCACAGAGCCGCAGGTTCAATTCCTACCAGAGGGTCTATAGTTGCATTTTTCACAACTCTTCCTGGTTAGGTATAAAATTGTATATAATCTTCCGCTGCAAATTTCCATCTAGAAAAAAACCTTCAATTCCAGGTATAATCCTATACATGAAAACATTTCTCAATGGACCTATTCCCTGATGAACAAAATTTTGATCTAGACAAGTCTAGACAAAAAATCACAGCTCGAAAGAGCATCACAGCTTGAAAGAACATCACAAAATTAGTAATATTGCGAGGTTTCGTCGCGAAATGTTGTAAAATGCGAATATAGCCCTGCGAAGTTTGCCGTTTTCCAGTCATTTTGTATTACGCACGGGAAATTGATAATCAGATGATCAGAGAGCGCGGTATCAATTTCCCGTACGTAATACAAAATGACTGAAAAACGGCAAACTTCGCAAGGCTATATTATCCGCATTTTACAATATTTTGCAACAAACCTTCGGAATAATACTAATTTTGTGATGCTCTTTCAAGCTGTGATGAAATGTTTGTCTAGACTTGTCTAGATCAAAATTTTGTTCATTAGGGAATAGGTCCATTCTGGTTGGCTAAGAGCAGTGCAAATTGTTCGAAATATAGTGTCGAAAACAGTGCAAAAAAGTGAAATACAGTGCAAAAAAGTGAAATAGAGTGCAAGAAAACGAGATACAATGCAAAAAGTGAAAATAATACAAAAAACCCAAACATTACAAGAGACAAAATTTTCTAATAAAATTGTTTATATTAAAATCATCTATTTTGCATGTGACCTACGCATGGACATGACTGCATTATTTTTTCAAGTATATTATTAATAAGTAATAGTACGGTTTCTCGTGGAACTTGGAAACCATGCACTCGTGAGTTTTCAAAGACTTCAAATTGCACTCGTCCTTCGGACTCTGCAATTACGATCGTCTTTGAAAAACTCACTCGTGCATGATTTTCCCAAATTGCACTCGAAACCATATACTAGTACCTATACTAATCATTACTTACATCATCAACAAGGATAGTTGGTTCAAAGTTCTCAGTACGAACGTTACTCAAAAGATGATTAGTTCTTCCTGAGTCAGTTCTAGAGCTCAAACTACCAACATTACTCTGCCGATCTTCAAGTTGATGTCTGGGGTGGTGTGACGTGGCTCGATGACGTAGTGATATAGCACGTCTAATACGGTATCTGTTATGATCTGATAAGTAATGACCACGCATGATCTCAGCATAATATGGTGAATTTTCAAGTGTGATAAGCAAGCTATGAAAATAAATAATAGATTATTAATGTCATGGTAGAATTTGGAGTAGGCGGCTACATAGTGCCGAAGGTACCACCCAATTAGGGGGTCCGAGTGCGTTTCCCTGTAAATATTTTGAAACTTGGGGCACTTTCCATGTAATGGCCTGACCGGTCAGACCCGAATTCTTGCAGTCTGTATCAATGGAAAGATCTGGTGTATGTTTTAGAGCTGCTCCCGATTAATTTTCCACAATCGATTATGCTTAACAGTAATCGGATCATCTATAACACTACACAGCGTGATAGGGAATGAGTTAATTTCTTTCCGGATTAAAAAATTGGGACAAGATTGTGATTGGAATATTAAATGACAAACATTAAGGGGACTTGCGTTGATTCAAAACATTGTGGGTCAAATATCAAATTCACTCACAGCGTGTAAAGTTTATCATTACGTCTGATCGGGTTTACCAGTACTGCGAAAATATATTTAAAGTCTTTTTATTAAGTAGAAGAATTTGTTACCATTTGCGTCCAACATTGCGACGTGCAGACATAAACCAACTATGCATAAGAGTCTGAGTCTCGCAAATTTACTTAGGAGTGTCAAAGGTAAACAACTAAAGTAAATATCCCTAATATCGTCTCTGTCTTTTCATGTATTTCTCTTGTGTGAAGTGGTAAAGAGCGCGAGAACGTGCGCAATCTATAATTGTGGGTAGGTCCAACGCCCAAATGTTTTGTGTTCTATTCAACAATTTGACCGTTCTGACCGGTCTGGCCGTGTTAATGGGAAAGCACCCTTGGACCTCGGTATTTCCAGCCATTTTGAAGAGTTGTTTCGAGACAAATAATAAACATGAAAAATTTTCTCAATTCTGATTGGCTAAGAGCAGTGCAATTTTTTTCGATGAGATACAGCCATTTCTAGCAGAAAATAATTATACAAAAAACCCAAACATTTATAAGTGACAAAAATGGCTGGCGTTTGTTAGAAGATTTTCTAATTAAAATTTCGCATGTGACTTACACCGGATGTGACTGCATAATTTTTTTCATGTATATTATTAATAAGTAATAGTATGGTTTCTCGTGCAATGTGGAAAAACATACACTCGTGCGTTTTTTAAAGACTTCAAATTTTGATCGAAAAACTCACTCGTGCGTGTTTTTCCCAAATTGCACTCGAAAGCGTACTATGACGTATACATATTGCACCGTTATAACACTAAATTTCGACTCATTAGTCATTACGTAGCTACAGCTAGGTATATCGTTTGAAGTAATTGTGGGAAGTAATGCTGTCTACGCTATAGGCAGCAAAATTAGCCGGGATCCGGCTTTTCGTGGGAACCTTGCGATACTAATGTATCCATCTCGGTGAAGAATTGTTAACCACACAAAACTAGTGCAAATTAAAGTATCTTCACTTGTTCTGCATACACACAATACTGTCAGTTCCTAAACCGTTTTCCTATAGGTCCAAGTAAGGCTCCTCTCCTATTGTTCCAATGTGTTTGGGAGACTATACCATACATGTCAAAGCACACTGAACAATGAATAAGCTTTCCTTTGTGGGGATGCAACTACCTGAAAAATATTTGGAGAATTTCCACTTTTCTCTCGAAACGACGAAATTCTCCTTATATTTTTCAGGTAGTTGCATCCCTACCAAGGAAATATTTCAAGTTCAAGATTATATACTATGTCTAGCTGGGATTTTTCCATACTTTTTTTCCACTCTTTTTCCATAGAGTTGGGCAATATTTCGATTTTATCGCAATATTTTCACTCATGATTATAGGTATCGTAGAAACTGTAGAAACACGAGTTGCGGGAGCGATTATAGAATACCCGGCCACTTTTCAAACTGTTTATTGTTTCGGCGAAGCGGTGATACGCACTGAAAAAAATGACGTAATTAAAGTGGAAGTCAAGTCCGTAATGCAAACAAACGGTTTGTTTACATTTTGAACTGCTGTATTTTTTAAAATATGATGTACTGTCTGAATATCTAAAACCATTTAGGTTCGCTATGCTTCTAAATGAATATGAAAAAGAGTTTATGTTCAGAAAAATTCGAAACATTCGAATCGGCAATGTTCACATTAGAAGTCCTCACATTGTTATGAGCAGAACCGATGCGCAGAACGGACTTGAGTTCCACTTTAATTATTCGAGTGTTTCAATATTTTAAATAAGAGGCTGGGTTATTATTTTTCAGTAATACGGGGATACAGTGATACGCAGTGAAAACAAAATGACGTAATTATTTGAGTTTCTGACCAAGGTGGCGTGACTGTCAACGCAAGGTGGCGCAAAGACGGAGTTTTGAATGAGGCTTTACTTACCTATCAGAATTACTGTCGGCTGAAGAAGACTCCTCTTCATTATCTGCAGTCAAATCAATAACTGGCACCTCAACACGAGCTCTTTTAGGACTCCCCGCCATGATCACATCATCCATAGATTCAAGACGTCTTCTCCTCGTATGAGTGCGTTCGCCACTGTCTGGTATTTCAATCACGGTTGTATTTCCACCCGGCTCACTCGGTCGTTCTGGCGTATCCAAAAGAATGGGGGATCTTGAGTTGCAAGAGTTCACCATTTTGAGAACACCAAAGCTGTGACGAATAAAGAGTACAAATTCAGGGTGTTAGTGACAGTAAAAATTACGTTTTCACAATTACGTTTAGCCAGCAATTTCACAGTATATATATATATATATATATATATATATATATATATATATATATATATATATATATATATATATATATATATATATATATATATATATATATATATATATATGTATATCAGCAGAAGCATGAAACTCGGAGTAGCGATTAAATGTTTTTAAACTAAGAAGTCTCTCTTAACTCTACATAGCTCTAGTATACCTATTGAGCGCTTTCAATACACGTTGACGAGGTCTACACACCACAACCTGTTATATATATATATATATATCAAGATTGTTCAACTTCAAAACTTTGCTCAAGAAAAATTGGGTACCAGATAAGTGTTGCGACGATGTAATATAAGATAAAATATATATTTGTCGGTGTTTAGTCACCAAGACAATATCATGTGAATTGCACTTCAAAAGTTTCAATTTAGTTCAGCTGGCGCTAGGCCACGGAACACATCACTTAAGAAATATTATATTCCTTAATTGCCGAATTTCTTAATCTTCTGACTAACACCCTAACAATGAATATCTTTTACAATAAGTATACAGACAAGCCTTCACAACGCAAGCATAAGCACTTGGAAGGAAACTTCTGTATACTAGAACAATAGTAACTCTCAAGTTGTGAATAGGTGATTTCAGCTAGAGACTCAATTTTGATCAAGGCAAGAAGAACGAAATCCAACACCACAGCTAGAAAGAGCGTCTTACAATGCAAAAAAAAAACCTGCAAAGATTGGTTGCTAAATGTTGTAAATGAAGAAAATATAGCCCAAGTTCGCAAATCTTGTATATATTTGTATTACGCGCGGTAAAAATAACCACTTTCGGCTCAAAAATGGTTATTTTTCCCGCGCGTAATGCAAATATATACCAAATTTATTTATATAACATTGCATTTAACCCATTAAGTTGCATAGTGCTTTAATGCACCTCACTTTATTATTTTACTCTGTCTAACACCAGACGATTTCCCTTGTCAAGAGGAGAGCACTGGCGGTCAATGGTCAATCCGACTATCTATTCATATATGTAGGTATAGTTAACCCATTGATTTGTACCGTGTCCCAATCTCCACTATACTTTACTGTGTGACTCTGTCCCACTCAATGGTTAATCAGACTACTGTATCTATCCATATGTGTTATGTGTATGTGGTTAACCCATTGAGTTGCATTGTGTGCAAATGTGCACTACTTTATTGTGACTCTGTCCCAATGCCAGACAATTTTACTTGTCGAGAGGAGAGCACCAGTTGGCACTCAATGGTTAATCAGACTACTGTATCTATAACCATATGTGTTATATGTATGTAGTTAACCCATTGAGTTGCATTGTGTGCAAATGTGCACTACTTTATTGTGTGACTCTGTCCCAATGCCAGACAATTTTACTTGTCGAGAGGAGAGCACCAGTTGGCACTCAATGGTTAATCAGACTACTGTATCTATCCATACGTGTTATGTGTATGTAGTTAACCCATTGAGTTGCATTGTGTGCAAATGTGCACTACTTTATTGTGTGACTCTGTCCAAATGCCAGACAATTTTACTTGTCGAGAGGAGAGCACCAGTTAGCAATCAATGGTTAATCAGACTACTGTATCTAACCATATGTGTTATATGTATGTAGTTAACCCATTGAGTTGCATTGTGTGCAAATGTGCACTACTTTATTGTGTGACTCTGTCCCAATGCCAGACAATTTTACTTGTCAAGAGGAGAGCACTGGTGCTCAGTGGGTTAACAATCAATCAATAATTTATTAATTATTCACTATAAATCTATAATTTATACAATAAATATACAATTAATCCGCAAATAGCAAATGCTAATCGAGGCGGATAGTGTAAAAAAATTATGAATTGCTAGAATACAGTCCAAAGAAGAATACAAATCATATTTCCAGTACACAACATGCAAGTTTAAGAAGCATGCCATGTACTAGAATATTGCATGTACCAATATTTCTGAATATTGCAAAACTTATTTCATACAAGCCTTGTACTAGAAAAATTAGATAACATAATATACAATAACATTGAACTCTCTCACTTGTTAGGTCCCACATTTAGTGATGTTTTGAGTTCATGGCAACTAAATAATTTATTTTGAGATTTGGATTGAAGAAAATCTAATTTCAAACCCCGTGACGTATTAGTCCATAGGGGAATGTCAGGTTTGCCAAAGGTGGAGTAAACACAAATATGTCTACACAAAGGCACTATCACTCACAAATCTATTTCATATACATGTGAGAAAACAAACTATAACATGAAAATTATTTTATATAATAACTAAAGTGAAACACGCAATTTGATTGGTCAATAGCCATGCAGGATCAGGCTATCCTGCACGAGGAATTAAAATACCTTCAGAGCAAACCTTTGGAATTTTATTCCAAAAGAAATTAGGGAAAGCAAATCACTTTCTTCTTTTCGAAATAAAATCGCTGTTCACATTTATGAGTAATAATTATTGTAAAGATGTACCTGTAAATTGTCTGCCAACTTTCTCATTAGACATTAATATGTTACCATTTTAATACTCATTAATATGTTACTATTTTAATACTCTATATCTTTTAAAAGATATAGTATTTTTATTAAATAGCACATGTAAAATTTTTATTTATTTTTTGGCACATGCCCCTCGTGGAAATCAGCTTCGGTTGACAGGGTCAGCATATATAAATAAAATTTCTATCTATCTATTTTCCATTAACATTCTGAAATGTCAATGTACGGTATAATCCAATTAGCTGGAAACAAAAATTAGGTTTGGACAAAAATTTGGTGACTTTTCGGGGAAAATACAGAAATATGGATATTATAAGGGGCGCATAAAATCATGCGAATATCAGGCCTCTTGCCTCCAAGGCCGGATTTTGGTGGAAATACAGTACTGGGGGAGGTAGGGGGAAAATTTAGGGGAGGTGCAGCGGTCTAGCTTACGACCCCCATGGAAAGTTAGCCGGGCTTACTGTAGAACAGGCCAAAGTCAACAACGTGACGTATGCATGTAGTGTACATTATGTATTAGTGTATTAATGAACTATGACTGTATGACTCCAATCTTGCCCTTCATTACAATTACTACAAAGTTTATTTCAAAACATTGCATTAAAAGGGTATTTGACACAGAGATGAATGACTATCACTGTTTCAATTTTACCTAAAAAACTTCTTACGAAGTGTAGACCCTAAGCAATCATCAAATTTTCACTTTGATCTATCAAATGAATGAAACTTTCCCAAGGCAAGGTGCAAAAATCCTCAGGGGAGGTGCAAAACGATCTCGGGGGAGGTGTGCTCCTCCCCACACCTCCCTTCAAAATCCGGTCTTGCTTGCCTCTCAAGAAGATCGAGCCCCCAATTTGAGAGGGAGCAAAACATTAAGCTGTGTATTGACATGCTAGGGATGGGGTTCCAGTGCCACAATTGCCACATCTTGGCTTCTCTAGAATCCAAATACAGCACTGTTTCTGGATCCCAACTAAAACTTGTGACGGGAAATGCAAAATCTCGCAGCAGCCTCCTTGCTGAAAATCACTTGCTTCACTACAATGTAAATTACAACCTCACCCAGGCTGGGGAATAGAAAACATCTGTCCTCTATAGAGTGGGGTAGCCCAATGTTCAGTAGATACATCATTCTATAGCAGTTTAATGCATGGTTCAATTCTTCCTGTTACCACCCCCCCCCCCTGATTTGTGTGCTGAAAATTCCCGGGGGTGGTGAATTTCATTGATCGTTTGGTCCCGCGGGTAGGGGGTGGAGAATATTTATAATTATGGTATATATTATATTTTGCCCGCATGCAATGGGTTGGACTTAGCCTGTGAACCCGCGAGAAGCTGTTTTCCTCAAGAACTATCAAAGATGGCAGCGGAATATTTTACTGGAAACAATTTCGAGTATGTCTGCAACTGGTTAAAGGGGAAAATCTTGCTAAAACCACCAGTTGCAATCTCTGCCGTTTATACTGTTCTTTTTAATAATGATCCTAGGAAAGCAACGTTTTTGATAGCACAAACATTACGCAAAAGTTAGCATACCTCAATTAATTTTTCCGACGAAGAAACCAGAGGTTCTTTAATTCTATTACTTTCCTATACAAAAGTTATAACGAAAAACACCACCAAAGTTTAGTATTCATCAGCTAACTTTTGGGCGATATCCTTTTGTCAAAACTTCACTTTCCTATAAGCACACTATTTAATATACTGATCATGAAAATAAACCGAACGCAATAGCCAATATTGTTCCCGGGGTGGGGAATTGTCTTTTTTATTTGCCCGGGGGTGGGGAATTTACACTTTTGAAATAAAAAATCTGCAAATTCCAGGCGGTGGCCGGGGGGATGGTTATAGGAAGAATTGAACCATGCATAACCAGGGATACAGGTACTGTAGTCATAAAAGACACTAAGGGATGGAAACAAAAAATGGATACTGAGCCCATCATCCAAATCATGTAAATTATGTCGATAATTCTTGGCCTAAAATAACTAGATTAACCCATTGAGGGGCAGCTTGATGAGTAAAATCGTCTGGTGTTAGACAGAGTAAAATAATAAACTATAAAGTAAGGTACATCATTGCCACTTAAAGGCGGACGCATTGCCAGTTAAAGGGTTTACTTAATTAAAACCACTTTGATACCGGAAATGGCATTTCTCCAAGTATAAGCCCACCTGAATATAAGCCCACCTGAATATAAGCCCTGGCCTCGTGTATAAGCCCTTGGGCTTATTATTATACAGGTATTTATTAACGCAGTGATGGGGATTCCAACAGCTCAGAAGAGTGACAATAATTACATTACAGTACCACAATATGTTAATTAACCAACTTGTTTTAAATATGCGGTACAGTCCGATCTGCGCATGTGCACAAAGGAGCCCTCTTGTTATTTACTAACAGTTTATTTAGGTTTTTATTTCATTTTATGTTCTTGCAAAGCTTGATTGTTGTGTCTTCATAATTTGTTATACTCTAGAATCATGAAAATATAAATAGTTGTCGAATAAAATTCAATATTTTGGATACCGAAATGTAAACAAAGCCTTTATTTACATACAGACTGTACCACATCTTTAAATATAGACTATAATAGTATAATACACTGTATGTTTATATTTCTTTTTGTTCACAGTATACTGTAGTTTATAGCTGCAATAAATATTATTACTAACACCAAATGTTGTATAAGCCCACCCATGTATAAGCCCATCAAAAAATGCTTATAAACAACTATAAGCCCAGGGCTTATATTAGGAAGTTTAGGGTATTTCTACCAGACTCCACATCTGTAGTGTTAGAGGAAAGCTGTTCTCAGCAAGAGTGTTGGAGTTACTATCTTGCCTGACAACGGCACATACTAAACATTCAAGTTCACCATTTTGATCAAGGTACTTCATCAGTATCGTAATTGTTAAAATTGTGAACACGGGCTCTTCAAAGGAAGAATTATGGAGGTCCCGTCTACACAATATGACTAGTCGTGGCATAAGTACTCAAAAAAATTTGTGTAAAGATGACACATTTCAAATTTCGTGGTAAACTGATCACCAGAAATAGTGGCGTCAGAAGTCGTAAACTTCCATACGCCAGAATGACAATCGTATACAACTAGTCGTATCTTGTGAGTGGGGCTAATAGAGTGAGTCGACTCCACTGATGATGGGTGTAATTGCTCTAAATTTCAAAGAGAGATTTTCAGGCTGAAGGTTATCATTGTCCATGAAATAATGGTTTCTCATATCTACCCCATGGCCCACACTAAAGCCCCATTTTGTAATATATTTGGCTTGGAGATGGGCCAATTTCGGCCAAATACCACAGTTAAATTTTTACAGAAATATTACCCAGCTGAATCATGTGTCTGTAAGCTAAATATTTCACTAAAGATATATAAAATTTTCTACATTTTTTATGATAAAGTAGGGAAAATATACTGCGTCACACAAAACATATTAATCAAACAAAAAATTAACACAAGTCGTATTAAATAGGTGAAACATCACGGAATAGATATGAATTCCTCGCAAGTGAACTCGTGCTACAATTTTAAACAAAAAGCGATGAATTCTGATACCATATTTCACGAGAAATATAAAGAAAATATTCAAAATATACGAACAACGTAATGCATGAATTGAGGTTATATTACGTTGTTCCAGTGTTCCACACAATTTCATAATAATTTTCCTTGTCCAAAGAAAGTCTTTTCTCCTAAATACTTCGATACAGTATTAGCGAAAAACTCTACTACAATACCTTACTCTTTCGTTGGATAAACTGCCGTTTAAGTCTCTTTCCCAATATTGAAACAGCGAACTATATCTTCTAAACAACAAAAGGATGCAAAGATATTAATTTTTTGGCTTCTAATAAGAATACAATTGGGTGCTCAGCCTCGTACGAAGGAAAGCTGGCTAGAAACACGAGTTTTGTCTTACCTGAGTAGCTTTTTCAGCCAGTGTTTTGCCAGCGAATACAAGAAGGTTGATGATGATGATAAAAGAGAGGCAACAAACCGACAAGACAAAGCTATCGCGTCTATTTAAGCCCAACAAAACAATTAATGCTTCCCTGGCTCGAGTACTGGCTGAGACTTTCTCACCTTTCAAATTGTTGTGTCACAGTGATTCTGGGGGTTTCATGGGATCACAATGGGAATTAATAATTAGCCAGGGAAGGCCGCTGGATAAACTGCGCGCGGACGTTAACACTGATCTCAGGCTATACTGAATGTATGTACAGTGAAAGATGCCCACCTGAAAATACAATACTATGAGAAATTCAACGTTTCGAGCGATCGCGAAGGCCCTTGTATGGGAAAGTTAGTAGCGGGGTCGGGAAAATTACATGCACTTGAACTTACACTTTGAAACTCTGTTTGGACTAAATTAATCAGATTGGTTTATTTTTTGTCACGTGATCACTCTTATATTTACTAGTATAAAAGCTCATGTAATTCTCCCGACTCCCACTACTGCCTTCCTAATAACTTTTCAAAATTTTCTTTGGGGCATGTCCCAAGCAGGCCCCATAGGAAAGTTTGCGCTTGCAGGGAAATCACTCCATCTCAGCACCAGTCCACCACCCCTCCCCCTCCTCCCTCCCTGTTGTATTTTAGAATAATTTATTATAATTTATATCTAATTATTTACAATATTCCTAATATATTATATAAGTATAAGTACTTCATGTAACATAATGTAAAAGCAATAATACCACATCTCCTTTCCTTTCATATATAAAGTTATCAAAAGTTAATATTGTTTCAATCAGTTAGATAACAGTAAGAACACAACGTCAACAATAAGTAATTAATATAATAGTCCTTTCACAAGTTTTTAGGACATCTCTTTCTTAAATCATATGGACGCGTAGTCCCACATGCCTTCCTCCCAATGGATTAGTCGTTGGGGTTGGGTTCTGTTCGTCATTCGCTTGAAACGTATTGTTACCAGGAGGGGAAGGTGCAGGTCTTAGATATCTTCGATTACGGGTGAGTGTAGACCCTTGGTCGGTTAATACTATGTAGGTGCAATTCGGTTTAATTTCAGCAATTGTTCCAAGTAGTGACCAATCGGAATCGACGCGGGAACGAATAGCTACACGGGTACCAGTCTGGAGAGGAGGTAATGGGGTAGTATGTTGATCATAGGTAGCTTTCTCTTTCTTCTTGAGATCAAGGATTTTCGCATTCGTCTCATTTGTTGGAAACGGGTCTTCACAACACAATCACAAAATTAATAAAATATATAATAAAACAAAAATAAATTTACAAATATAATCTGATATGTAGTTCACGCTTCGCTAGTGTTTTTTGATCAACAACGTGTTCGTTACATTCGTCCCCGGAATTACATCACCCCGGGCAAAGTTCCCAGAGGACTAAATTTCCGACATTGCGCAATTTACTTCACTCTCCCCTATTTGACTTGCTACAAGACAAATATATAACCTAGTAAATCACGTGCTAAACAACTAACTTAATGTAAATGTATCTTTAGTTCCTGCTAAGTGTTCTCTCTAGTCCAATTCGTCTAGTTCATTTCTAGCAATGTTCGCTATTAGTCCAGTTCTGGCCCCTGACCGCGCTCCTCCCCGCGGAGAAGGGTCCAGGGAAAACTGCATGCGCATGCTCTCATGCGCAGTACCGATTACCAGCTTTTCCTGGTAATCGGAACTGCGCATGTTTTGATTTGCAAAATATAGTAATATGGCGGCAGAGAAGTATCGAAAGTTATTTCCTTATTACGAGTATAATTAAGCTTGCAAGTGATGAACCAGGCGGGAATCGTAATCGTAGTATAAAGATTAATGCCCAGCATAACGTACGCAAAAGAGTACGTTACGTATATCAGCAGTGGCGTAGCTGGCTGAAAAAAATCGTCCCGCCGAAGGCGGGTATTAAGGTCCTTCATCCGTACCATTTGTTTTATCCGTTCACTCTGTTTTTATGAAGTTGTCGTTGTTGAATCCAACAAAAGCTCAAGGTCCAGATGGCCTCCCGGCCTGGCTACTGAAGGAGAATGCAGACCTTCTTGCAGAACCTATAGCAGAAATTATAAACAGCTCCTTCCGCGAAAGTAGGTTACCACCATCATGGAAAGAAGCGGATATAGTTCCAGTACCGAAACAAAGAATAGTAAAAGACGTCAGCAAACACTTAAGACCAATTTCCCTCACGCCAATACTTTCTAAAGTTGCTGAGGAGTTCATCATACAAGAATATGTCAAACCGGCGGTTTTAAAAAAGATTAAAAGTAACCAATTTGGCTCAATCCCAAAATCATCGACAACCCAGGCTTTGATCAGCATGATACACACATGGAGCAAGTATACGGACGGAACTGGCTCTACAGTCAGAGTGGTTGTTTTCGATTTCAGGAAAGCTTTCGACCTAATCGATCACAATATATTGGTTCGAAAGCTAAAATATCTAAATAT